GCCCGCCCCCGGGCCCATGTGCAAGGGCGGGGACAAACGCGGGCAGCTGGTGCCCGGGTGCAGCCGGCGGTGCACCAGCAGCCCTAGGTTGGCGTTGGAGGGCGCGCTGGCGCCGCCCCCAGGAAAGACCACTGAGGAGGACGAAGCAGAGGAAGATGCAGAGGAAGAGCAGGAAGAGGACACGGGAGCTGCAGGTCCGCCTCCCGGGGACCTCTCGAACTGGGCCCAGAGAAGTGGCGCCCCAGGCGGTGGGGCGGGGGCCGGGTCGAAGGTGGGCTGAAGCTCAGGACAACCATCGGGGGAAGGCACAGAAGCTTCCCCCGCGGTGTAGGTGTATCCATTGCCATTGTTGTTGTTGCCGTTGTGAGCAAAGCTGAGCGCGGGGCTAGGGGGGCTGTAGTCCGCCAGGCGCGGTGTGGCGGCGGCACTGCCGCTGGTCCCTCCGCCGAAATAGGAGTCTGTAGAGGCGCTGCCGAGAGAGCTGGAGCTGTCGTTGCGGTAGCTAGAGAAGGGCTTGCGGCCCGGAGTGGGCGTGATGCTGGGGGTGGGCTTGCTCCAGAGGCTGCCTGGGCCGGACCCGCCGGACCCATGATGCAGATCAAAGCCCACATCTGTGCCGTTGGCGTGAAAATCGTTCTCATCTGTGAGCTCAATGATACCGCCAGTGCGCAAGGCGATGTGCGCCTCGATTTCCTCACGAGCTCGGTCCACGTTCTCAGGCATGCCGGTTACCTCGAACACAGGCTCCTTGTCGCGGCTGGGAGTCACGATGTACGTGTGCGTCTGTTGCTGGATGCGCTTGATCGTGGCGCCCTTGGGCCCCACCACAAGCCCCACCACACGGTAGGGCACTCGCACCTGGATGGTGGTCTGCCCCGGGAGGTTAGGTGGCCCGGGCACTGCGCCATTAAGCGCCGTATTCTTATTCCGAGAGGCGCGGATCATGGAGAAGTGCTCGGCGGCAGAGATGATCTCCCTTCGAGCCATGGCCACATCCTCCTTCCTGCCCGTCACAACAAAGACAGGCTCCTCCCCACGAACCGGGGTCTTGATATAAGTGTTGGTCTTCGCCCGCAGCGCTTTGATTTTACAACCTGGGAGCCAGGGTACAGGGGAGGGAGTGGGAGAGAGAGAGACAGACACGCCCATTATCCCAGGGTAACGGCGGAGGCCTGGGACAGTCCGAGTTCGGGGCAGCGGGAAGGCAGGACACGCGATGGGCGGAAAGGGGGCGGCTCCCTCACTGACCCCGGGCCGCGCCACGGGCTGGGATGCGGTTCCACTCGCGAGGCCCTCGAGGAACAGCCCATTGGCTGCCCAGTCCTCCCCCAGTGACTGCAGCCGTCCCGAGCCAAACCCGAGAATCTCAGAAAAAGTCAGCTGGGGAGATGCCGCTGGGATCCAGCGGGACGCGCCGTCCTCCCTGAAGACGCGGTAAAGGGGTTCAGAGAAGGTGGCCGAAGCCGCGATTCTCCTACGCGGGGGGACTGGTAGAAAGGTGGGGGCAGTCCCGGGACCCATTGTTCCTCCTCTGGGCTCCATTCCGCGTAGCAGAAATCCAGAATCCTCCTCCCATCCGATGCTCACTCCTCCTCCTACCCCCTCCCAAAGGACCGATCAGAGGCCCCCTCCCCCAAGCATCTTATATTTAAATTCTATTTCCCGGGTTGGACTGGGTGGGGGGCACTGGGGGAGTAGGCAGTGGTTTTCGCAGGAGAAAGTGCATCCCGAGGTGGCCGCGGCGCGGCTCTGGGAGACAGCCTGCCTGCACTTTCTTTGTCTGGGGCGCCGGCCCATCGCGCGGCTCTTCCTCCCTCCTCAAGGCTCCTCCGCGCCGCGGATCTCGATTCCTCTCCCTCCCTCCCCACGGGGCGGTGGCCCAAGACCCTCTCACCGCCAGCCGCCCATCCCCGCCAGACCCACCTTGCCGCCCCACGATCTCGGCGACATGCTCGGAACTGGGCACCGGCACGCACTCGGTCATGTTCACGCTCTTCTTCCGCGG